CCTTATTATTGACTGAGGTAGATGATGTCGGTATTAGCTCGAGGTCATCAGCTGGTAATACAGTGTCAGCTATGGCTTGTTATGTAGTGTCGTCGATAGATGGTGCTTGAAGAAATAGCTTGGGATCATCAGTGTTTTCCAATTTCCATATTGCATCCTCATCAAATTTGACATCTCTGCTTGTAATTAGTTGTTGTATTTTGAGATTAAAGATTCTTATTCCTTTCTCATATTTTTCTTCAAGCTTATGCCTTTTTGTTTAGGAATATGAACATAACAGAGACACCTAAATACTTTGAAGTGATCAACATAAGGCTTGTGTCCTCTCCAAGCTTCAATAGGTGTGATATCTTTCACAGCTTTTGTAGGACATCTATTTAGCACATAGACAACAGTGTTAATAGCTTCAACCCAAAATTTCTTTGGTATGCCTTTTGCTATTAGTATGGACCTTGCCATCTCCATAATAGTTCTATTCTTCCTTTCTGTGACTACATTTTGTTGAGGAGTATAGGCAACAGTCAGTTGGTGATCCAACCCTTCTTCTTTGTAAAAATCTTCAAAGTGGCATGAGTTAAACTCTCCTCCTCTATCACTTCTCAATATCTTTATCTTTTTGCCACTTTGATTTTCAACTAATAATTTAAAGTTCTTGAAAATACCAAAAATTTCTGATTTTTCTTTGAGAAAGTAAACCCATGTCATTCTAGAATAGTCATCAATGAAGAGAATAAAATACTTACAATTGCTTAGAGATGGAGTCTTCATAGGACCACAAAGATCAGTGTGAACAAGTTCAAGTACTGATTTTTCTCTCCAAGATTCTCAGAAAGGAAATGATTTTCTTTGTTGCTTTCCCATTATACATCCTTCACAGATAGGTATATCTTGAGCTAACAGAGGTAAGTCTTTTACCACATTCTTCTGATTTAGCAATATTCTCAAGGCTTTCAAGTTATAGTGCCCAAATCTTTGATGCCAAAGAGATGTATCATCATTCTTTGTAAATAAAGCTCTAGGATTTTGCCAAGTGATAGGAAAATTTCAGCCATCCTTCATTCTTACTTTTGCCACAACTTGATTGTCTTTCTTTAGGTATAAAATGATACATACATCGCCTTTAAAATGTAGGGAATACCCATTCTGCATCATCTGCCAAACACTGAGAAGACTTTGATCAAGGCTTGGAACCAGAAGAACATCTCTTATGAGCCTTGTTCCTTTATTGGTTTTGATGGCAATTGTTCATTTGCCACTTGCTTCTACCAACTCTCCATTTCTCCATTTCCAAGTTTTATTTTAGCACATACAGACTTATCAATATGAGTGAATAGACTCTCATCTTGAGTCATATGATTGCTGCACCCGCTATCAAGAAACCATTCTTTCTTTTGCTCGGCTGCAACATGACATGCATAGAACAATTGCTCATTTTCTTCCATAAAGTTAGCTTGTTGATTTTTTTTTTTATGCCAGCAATCCTTCTCTTCATGTCCAAACTTCTTACAATAAGAACATAAAGGCTTACCTTTATGAAAGCAATCTTTTTCCAAGTGATTTGTCTTGTTGCAGATCTTACATGGTGGGAATTCCTTCTTTTGAGGGTTGACTCCATTTTTTGTAATCTCTTTTGACTTATTCTTCGAATCCTTTGTCTTTTGCTTCTTCAGGTTGACTTTTGATTGGAATGCTGTTTCAAGAGTGGTATCCTTCCTTCTCTCAAGTCGAAGCTCATGAGCATATAATGAGCTCATCAACTTTGTCACCGACAATGAGGAGAGATCTTTGGACTCTTCGATGCAGCCACCACATGATCGTAGCTCGCAGTAAGGCTAATGAGGATCTTTTGTACTACCTTCTCTTCTGAGATGTCTTTGTCGTACACCCTCATATGGTTTACTACGGTAATGATTCTAGCGCAATACTCCTTTGTATTTTCTGTTTCCTTCATTTTGAGATTTTACAACTCCCTTCACAAGGCTTGTAATTTTATTGTTCTTATTTTGGAGTTTCCTTGAAACTCCTCCTGCAGGATCTCCCATGCTTGTTTCGATGAAGAAGCCCACATTATCCTTGGAAAGATAGTGTCACTTTCAGCTTGTTGAAGAATGAAGAGCGCCTTTGCATCTTTTTGTTTGTCCACCCGGATTTGCGTGAGATTAGAAGAACCATTAGAGGTACTGACAACTTCGGTCGAAATGCCATCTTCAACTATCTCCCATAGATTCAGTGATCGGAACAACATCATCATCTTCACGCTCCAGTAGTCGTAGTTTTCGCCGGTGAATATTGGATATGATGGAGAAGAAATCCAGCCTGTCATTGTTCCCATAGATTGAAGCTGCTCTGATACCAATTGTTGGAGAATTAAAAATGAAGAGAGATATTGATGGAAGTAGAAGAATATATTTTTCTTGTCATTTTAACAATACATCATCCCTACTTATACTAGTGGTTACAAGTAGTTTTAAATTTATCTATATATTCTAGAAACATCTATTTTTAATAAAGCATTTACTTCAAAAGTCAAGCATCCTAGAACATTCTACATTAATACTTAATGATGGAATAATCTAGATAAAAGAATACTCTAGAATAAGGAATACTCTAGAATGAAAAGCAATAATAATTTCTAATATTTATGACACCGTAAGTAAAAGGATTATGTTAAAAAGCTTCATATCTATTGGTTCCCCACCCCCTCTTTGGATTTGTGTTGA